GAGCAGGCCCGGGCGCCGGCCCCACCGGTCGCAGCTCCGCAGGACCCCCTCCCGGGGCGCTCGGGCCTTCCGCCGCTTCTCTCACCTGTAAATAGTCGGAGCGGTTCAGGGTAAGCTCCATGGTGGGGGTGGCGGCCGAGCTGGGAGGGGCGAGGCGCAGGCCGGAGCGGAGGAGTCGCGCAAGAAGCCCCGCCCCCTACCACGGCCAATGGGAGCGCAGGTAAGGTGTGGGCGGGGAGAGGGCGGGGCTTCGTGCTCCGTCACGGCAGAGGACCCGCCCCCAGGCGCCCGGGCAGCCTCCCTGGCACCCAGCGTAAGGAGGGAAGACCCGCGCAGGGAACCGTTTCCATGACGACGGCGACGCCAAACTGGCCCCGCCCCTTCGTAGTGCTGTTTGCCCTTCCAGGGATGGGAGGAGTCCTCTGCTCTAGGTTAAGGAGAGTCCTTAACTCCAGGCAATTAGTCAGACCACAAGCACTTATTAAGCACTTAGTGTGTGCCAGGCTCTGCGCTAATGCCTGAGCAAGCCTAGGCAACGCACTTGCTTTCACATTAGATCTTGTCTTTTCTCACTCCTTGCTTCTGGCGCTCACTAAGATACAGCCTCCGTATCTACCAATCAAAGATTAAGCACCTACTCTGTGCCGGGCACTGTGTTAAATAAGTGCTAGGGATACAAATAGGAAAATAAAAAACCCAGTCCTTGGCCTCAAAGAGCTTACAATCTTATGGGGGGAGACAACACACAAAAGGAGCTGAAAAGGGGGGAAGGGGGAGGTGGGGAAGGTGCCCCATGTGGTGGAGAAGTCAGTCAGAGAAGCCCCACAGTAGGGCAGCCAGGTGAGAAAGGTCTGAGCCGAACTCTCTCCTTACTCGGAGGTTTGGAATCCATGGCCCCACCCTGCAATCAGGGGGCCGAGAATAGGGTTGAGGTGGATTCCAAGGCTGATGAGCTCTTACAGGATGAGGAAGTTATTCCCGTAATGAGCTTCCTGGGGCCTGGGAGGAAAGTCCGAGAAATCCCAAAGTAGGACAGTCAGGTGAGAAAGAGGATCTAATCAGAATCCCGGAAGCTATTTTCTCACACAAAAAACAATCATACTCTTGATTTTGGGTTCCCCACAAATGCACCACTTCCATGTTCACAAGCTCTGAAATTCCCGTTAGATCAGGAGACATCGTCTTTCCATCTGTCCCTGCACCTTGAAACCCAAAACGCTCTTCTTCATCTACACTGTGACTTCCAATCCCTCAAACCTTCGGTTCTTTCCCAGACTATCACCCCTCCTCTAGCTATACTCTCCATCCTTCCCCCACCTTGGTGAACCAATTCAACTCTTCAATGTTCTCTTCTCTTGAGTTCCTTTCCTCATATTGCCAACCTTGCCCCACCACGACTCAGCCTTAGCTCACTCCTACACCTGTGTGGCTGAATGAAGCTGGAACAAAAAATCTTGAACCTGTGCTTACTGGGTTTACTACAGATTTATCTACCTAATCTCATCTGGGCCCTCACTGCTGCAAAGCAATCCTTCCGGGGGTGTTGTTCGGTTGTTTCAGTCACGTCAGACTCTTCATGACCTATTTGGGGTTTTCTTGGCAAAGACATTGGAATGATTTGCTATTTCCTTCTCTAGTTCATTTGACAGATGAGGAAACTGAGGCAAACAGGGATAAGTGACTTACCTAGGGTCATACCTAGTAAGTGTCTGAAGGTGGATTTATACTCAGGAAGATGAGTGTTCCTGATTCCAGGCCCAGCAGGCTATCCACTGCACCACCAGCTGTCCCAATCCTTTTATACTACCCTAATTAATTCACTATCCCAAAGCACAGAGGCTCTTCCAAACCTTCTTATCCCTCCTCAAACCTTCCACAGCTCTCCACTCTTTCAACTGAGAAACTTGTCTCATATTTTGCTGGAAAAAAAGATCGATAGGGTAGGGCCTCAGAACGTAGAATGGCAGAGCTCAGAGAGACCAGAGATCACAGATTGAAAGCTAAGAAGGAGCCTTGGAGCTAGGCCATCCTCCTCATTTTTAAGTGGTTTGCCCAAATTCATGGAGGTTATAAGTACCAAAACCAGGACTTGAACCAAGGTCCCGGGATTCCAAATTGAATCTTTTGGGCAATTAGGGTTAAGTGACTTGCCCAGGGTCACACAGCTAGTGAGTGTCAAGTGTTTAGTCTGAGGCCGGATTTGAACTCAGGTCCTCCTGACTTCAGGGTCGGTGCTCTATCCACTGCGCTACCCTGCTGCCCCCTCCCAATTGAATCTTGCTTTTCTTTCCTCTGCCACACCGGAATGTCAGACCTGAGAGGGGTCTTTGACCATCAACTGTGAAGATATGATCAGCAAAATGGCAGAAAGGGCACTTTCTCCAAAGCAGACCAGAAAAGAAAGGAATTACATGCCAAGGACGAAACAATTAAAACAGATCTCACAAGAGAGGAAGACATGGACAAGATAGGCACCTAAGGAATTGATGGTGAACCAGCATTAACCCAAACATTCACTTAGTGTCCGCCCTCCATAGGTTCAGGGCAGGAGGCGTGAACTTCTCAGGACTGTGACCTTGGCTATATCTCCCCTGCAGTGGTGTTTCTTCCCAAGTACCTCCCCGTCCTCAATCTCCAACACTCAAGAAACAACGGTCAGTCATTGACTCCATCCAACCAAGCGAAGGAAATGAAGGGAAAGAAAGGAGGCATTGGACAGGCTGAAAATCATGCCGGCTTCAGCTGGTTTTCCGGGCCCAGAGTCGTAGGTTACAGGAGAACAGTAGGGAATAATGGGAAGGGGTTTGGAAAAGCAGCTGGGGCCAGTCCTATCCCTCTAGCAGTGACTTGAGGCAGAGACTTGACCCAGCAACTCCTTATCTCCCAAGATGAAGAGGCCAGGCCAGGCCCTGGGCACTGTGCCCGGTGGAGGGGTCAAAGGATGAGAAATGGGGAAGACAATAAAAAGGCCTCAATAAAAGCTTTACTTCCAGATGCGTGATGATGAATAGTGAAGGCACTTTGTCCCCAGGTCACAGCATGCACGGGTATTCTGTGACTGTTCCCTATTTACTTATTATATTAGAAACACATCTAGCAATCCCTGACCAAAAAAAGAGCCCATCCTTTGAATGCTTGGTGCTTCTGTGTGGCTGTGAACAATGTGGCAGCCTGACCTCCAAGGATAAACATTTCAGATTCAATAATTTGACTAAATCCCTTGAATATTTACTAAGCACCTACTATGCGCCAGAGACACTGTGCTAGGTAACTCAAAGAGCACAGTGTCTGAGTAAGGAACCGAGGTAAGACACAAGGTTTATCACTGAGGAGGTATAGGACCAGAAACTGAGGTTGTCCGTAGAGAGATCAAGGCTGACAGATGGTCTGCGGAGCCCTGAATCAGCTGAAAGGTTAAATACCATGGCAGAGGGGAAGGCCTCTAGCACGTTGGGTGGATCCCATATGGAAGGTTTAGGGGAGAAAAGGCTAAGAATCACCAGCTTGAAAGAACAGGGATGGGGCTGCCGTCTCCACTGATAGTGGGAATGCCCCACTAAGATCACGGATCCAGGGAAATAGTAAAGCATTATAGTTGTCCTCCTACTAGACTGCAAGCTCCTTGAGAGATGCTCTCAAACAACATTGATTAAGCACCTACTGCATGCCAGGCACTGTGCTAAGTTACAAAGGAAGGTAAAAGACAATTCCTACCCTGGAGGAGCTCCCAGTCTAATGAGGCAGACAGCATGCAAATAGCAAGACACAAACACAAACATAGCCACATAACATGCAAGATAAATGGGAGATACTCAACCTAGGAGAGGCAGCAGGATGGAATTTTGTTCTTGTTACCCAGTATGTGGGAACAAAGGCTTTTGTTGTTCACTTGTTTTTTTTTTTTAGGCAATTGGGTTTAAGTGACTTGCCCAGGGTCACACAGCTAATAAGTGTCAAGTGTTTGGTCTGAGGTCACATTTGAACTCAGGTCCTCCCGACTTCAGGGCTGGTGCTCTATCCATTGCGTCACCTAGCTGCCCCTTTGTGGTCACTTTTAAATCACACACCTGGAGCCTAAGGGAGGTGAAATTACAATCCGTTTTGCTGCTTATTCTTAGCGTTAATGATAATTAATAAAATAATAAAAATAAAGTAATAATAATAAAAATTTAATTTAAAAATCCTAGTGGAAAAGAAGGTTGCAACTATTTTAAAGTAGGAATGTCTTTAGATTTCATTTATTCCTTCTTTTTCATTTCCTCAGGACCACAGATTACCAAGTTTCTTCTGATCTAAATTATTCCCTGTGAGGAGACAAAGAAAGCAGGGTTCTGTTTATCACAAGGGCTTAGGACGAGAGTGAGGAACCTGCGGCCTCGAGGTCACACGTGGCCTTCTAGGTCCTCGGGTGTGGCCTTTTGACTGAGTCCAAGTTTTACAGAACAAATCCTTTGATTAAGGGGATTTGTTCTGAGAAGTTTGGATTCAGTCCAAGGACTGCACTTGAGGACCTAGAGGGCAACATGTGGCCTCAGGCTGCAGGTTTCCCACCCGTGGCGTAGGATCATAGATTAAAAACTAGAAAGAGCTGGAAAGGTCATCAAACCAATGGCCTCATTTTAGAAGCCCTCATTCTGATACACCTTCCTACCACCATCACTCAAGAATGACCCTTTCCCATCTTAAGTTCACATCATCCTCTCCAGATCCTTGTTGTTGTCCTCTTTGGGCCTTTCTCTCCTCACCAATAAGGCTGATAACTGAGTCACAGTCTATTGCTCCATCCCAACTCCTTTATTGGGCAGCTAGGTGACACAAGGGGCTAGAGCATGGGGCCTACAGTCAGCAAGACTTGAGTTCAAATCCAGCCTCAGACGTTTACTAGCTGTGTGACCACGGGCAAGTCGCTTCACCCTGTTTGCCTCAGTTTCCTCATCTGTAAAATGAGCTGGAGAAGGAAATGGCAAACCACTCCAGTATTTTTGCCAAGAAAACCCCAAATGGGGTCACGAAGAATTGGACACAACTGAACAACAACAAAATCCTTTATTCTTTTAAAAAAAAGTGTTATTCTGCACTTGACAAACACCACAAACAAGCATTTCCATATAGAAAGAACAGAAAAGAGGATGGCGTATGAAACTACAAAGCTGTATTAC